GAAAGTTGGACCATAAGAAAGGCTGAGCACAAAAGAATTGAGGCCCTTGGGCTTCTGGTTTGCATTCGCGGTGCAGGTGGATGTTCAGGACGATCGCTCTCCCCACCGTCTGGTTTTCTCTTTAGGGGGACCCTAAAAAGGGTCGGAAGTCGCCCTGGAGGGGCGATGAGCGTGAAGAGGACCCCAAGTGATCGTGGAAGGGCGGCAGCCCTCCCGTTTGATCCAGGGCAGCTCTTCTAACTGATGGGGAAAAGACCGGCCATCAACATGGCCCGTCACTAAGCTGCTACCAGCCAAGGCCAAAATTACAAACAAGACTTCGAAAGCAACGCAGAGGAATTGGTTGAGACTCTACCTTCTCTATACCCCAAGTAGCTCTCCTGTTAAAAGCTTTTTGAAATTGTTCCCCTTCTGAGGAGAGAGGGAAGGGAACTTTCTCCCCCCCCCACGTTCTAAAATGGCGGTGTTTGACTACCTGGGAAAACAGGTAGTAACTGGTTGTAAGTCGAGGACTTTCCCTGCCCGGGAGTGCCGTGCATGCGTGGTGCCACTTCCTGCGCCAGCCGAGTCGTAGCTGGCAAGCGGCAGAGACAGAGCAGGCCGACCACCGGCTGGGCCACCAGCTGGCCCAGCCCAAGGGAGGTAAGGCACCCGCCGGGCCCCACCCGTGCCAGCAACCCCCCCTGCACCCGCCGGCTTCCCACCTCCCACCCCTGGCCCTCTTTTACTTACATTTTTAGTAGTTGCTCAGCAGGGAGGGGTGGAAACTTCCAGACAGCTCGCCTTCGCTGCAGACAACTTGCAGCACCGTTTGCAGAATGGGACTTTTGGCGGGCTCAGCAGGGCAGAGACAGCCTAGACAATTCCTATTGGCTTTTGAAAGCAATAGAATTAGACTCTATTCAAGAAAGTCTATTCTATTGGCTCTCAAAAGCCAATAGAATAAAAGGGAGTAGCACAGCTGAGGAAAAGGGGGAAAAATGACAGACTGCATTGTTTGGCGACCCCCGTGAAATGGTCGTTCGACCCCAAATGGGGTCCCGACCCACAGGTTGAGAACCGCTGATCTATAACTATGTCAGAAATGGAGGAAGACCAGCAACAGATGTCGCTTGACTATAAACTTATACTTGAAAAAATTCTTGAAACCACCAAAATAATCAAACTTAGACTGAAAGACAAAGGTGCCAGCTTAGATCTACAAAGCAAAACCCTGACTGCAACTAAAGAACCTACAACCCAAAAGACAACAGAAGCAGAAGAAAGTAATATCAAGATGGAGGGCTTTGAAGATCAACAAGTACAGCCTACTGATAATTTGACAATCAAATAACAACTACAAAATTGGACATGACTTTCTACCTAAACCAGAAGAAACCTGAGGAAGAAGACCATATTGAATTGAGGACATCTATACTAGAGCAAATATTGGGATCTGAGCCACTAGGGCGACAACTTAATGATTATAAATGGGCCAGTCCCTCCAGAAAATTGACAACTACATGCTCTCCTTTAATTCAAGTAACATGTACAAGAATGAAGGGAGATCTATCTGATGATCTAAATGCATTGGTATGGAAGCCTGGTTGGCATAAAAAGAAAACTAGAGTTAGATTTAAAAAATGAGGTTGTTTGATTTATTAGAGAGGATCCTAAAGTCTTAACTAATGGGCTAAAGGGAGATTTTAAGATGAAGGGAAATTTGATTATTATATTTAAAAATTGTTGGAAAATGGCTTCCGTTTCCGGGTAAGCAGTGCTACGGACGTGCAGGGAGACTTGTCTCTTTGCCAGCTGAGTTTCCCCCGCCGGTAGACCCTTAATTGGGTCGAAAGTCACACTGGGGGGGGGGGTGACCACAGTTGAGGAGGCTGCCTGTTTGACTGCAGAGGGGTAGTGGTGCCCTCTGCTGTCCAAGCGAGTTCCTTTGGGCCGACGGAGTAAAGATCATTCAGTAAAATGGCCGATCACTTAGCTGCACCAGCCTTAAGACACAAGAACATCTAAACGAAATAGAATCACTGTGGAAGATTCGGTGAGACCTTTCCTTACCTCTCCCTTTCCTATTTACTCCTGTGAAAAGCCTTTGGAATCATTTCCCTAACTTTCTAAAGCAGCTTTGTTGATGGGGGAAGAAAAGCCTTGGAACAAAAGAAAAATTAATTTTAACTTTTTCAATGGTTGATTTTATTTTTGAATATTTGGGAGTCCTAAAATCCTTGTTATAGAAACTTAATATGTTAGCAATTTGGAGAATTTTTTTTATTTTCTACTATTTTTATAACTAAAGAAAAGAAGGAAAAAAGGAAAAGAGGAAAGAAATTATTATTTATATATATATATATATATATATATATATATATATATATATATATCTCATAAATAAAATAAATAAATAAATATTTTTATTAGGAGTCTGGAAAGACTGAACAACTGGTTAACCCTCTGGGGACATCTTGTGGTGAAATTATTTACTGAAATTGTTATTCCCTTTCTTTGGACTCTGAGTCTGACTTTGACCTTCAAATTATCTCAAAAGGGAAAGATAAAGAAGCTGTACAGCTGGGTGGAAGCGGATATTGACTAATTGTTATTAAATACAGCCTCCACCAAAAGAATAATGGCTTTATATACTATTGAAATGGAAGAACTCTGTCCAGATTTCAATTACAAGTATATATTGGACAAAATTCTTGAAAATACTGAACAAATAATTGTCTATACAAAAGAGATTATTTTTCAACGACAAATCAAAGCGCAAGGTGTAAGTGAGCACTTTGTAAGCCAAGAAACAGCAGAAGGGGTATATACTCAAGAGACTCATCTTCAACCTTATCCATAATTTACTGAGATGGAGGAATTAAACTTACATCAGAACTGCCAACCTACACTGGAAAAAACTTCTGATGCTAATGAACAAATGACTTTTAGCACGGAAACTAAAGATGTTACCCCAGAAGGGCAGGCTGATCTCCAGACTCCAACTGATTACCTGACAGATAAAAAACCAATAGGAGGAGAGCAAAATAATAGTAAAGAAGACTCTACATTATTTTATAGACAATCTATTGAGACTCTGAATGATTCAAAAATGACTGTAATTAAACTAGGCGCAACTTCAAAAAAGATGAAGATGGATCTTCAACCACGAGCTATTGAGAATCGCTACAACTTTTTCACTAGCCTATTAAAATGGACAATGGGAGATTCTCCCCTGATTTATGCGTTACGGCAAGAAATGGAGGGAGTTTTATTTGTGGACTTAGAGGCCTTACTATGGAAACCCATTTGGAACAGAAAGAAAGCTAGAATAAGATATAAATATGGAATTTAAGATTACATTTATGGGTTGCAATGGCTTTATAGAGATGTGGATTGATTTGGATTTGGATTTTTAAAAGGTGTTTTTAAGATAAGATTTAAAATTTAACATTGAAATATAGTAAGAATATATATATATATATATATATATATATACTTTTTTTCTCTTTCTTTTTCTTGGTTTCTTTTTGTTTCTATTATTTTTTTCTATTTTTCCTATGCTTTTTTATTATTAGATATGATAGATAATTTGTGGAGCTATAATGATAAAAAGATTGTAATGATGGAAGAGATCAAATTAATAAATGAATTACTGAATAAGAAATAGAATATAGTTGAGAAATGCACTCAAATTGTAAAGAATATTTTTGTTTAAGACTAAGTTAGATATGGTATTTGGAAATTAATAAACCTAAAAACAGGGTTTGATTTACATCGATGAAAGGTTGCTGATAATTTCTATTGATTAATTGATTCTTATTTAGGAATGTATTAATGAATTAATTTTACTTAGAAATGTATTAGTTTGACTATATTATTCTAATTGTTAGAGAGGGAAATTTTAAGCAGCATTATTTGAGCTATATATGTATGATGTTATTGTACCTAACTGATTACCCTATGTCCACGTTGTTTCTTAAGCGTTCTGGTGTAAAAATGGAAAAATCAATAAAATTGTTTGGAAAAAAAATTGTTGGAAAATAATAAAAAATAAGGGATTAATTGGCATAATATTGAGGACTTAGACTTACAAGGGAAATGAAAACTAACTATTAGGAAATAATTTTGAATTATTGTTTAGCCCAGACAATATAGATGATGGACTTGAGATAACAAAAGATACTCCATTATTAAGTGGTGATGTACTAGGATGAGAAATAGAAAATGTTTGTGAATTAAAATAATAACATATTTAAGTAAGTAATATGTGTATTTTAGATATTATAACTTTTATGTAGTGAGACAAAGGAAATTTGGGTTACCCGAAACTTAAATACTATGGATATTAAAAGTTAAATTGGAGTATTGTAATTAAAAATTAGGTAAAACTTAAAACTTAAAAACAGGATATGGATATGTATAAGCAAAAATGTATTGATAAATGTGATATGAAGTTTTAACTGAGTTTGATACAATTAGAAATTTATTAGCTTAAATATGATATAGCAAATGTTATTGGAAATAGAGAAGAAATATTTGATGATGCAACCTGAGATATGTACTAAAGATTTTGTTATTGAATTATTAACCAACCCAATCACCACGTTGCTTTCTAAATACTTAAATGTAAAACTGGAAAACTAATAAAATATTATTAAAAAAAAAAAGAATTGAGGCCTTTGAACTATGGTGCTGGAGAAGACTCCTGCAAGTCCCCTGGACTGCGAGGCGATTAAACCGGTCAGTCCTAGAGGAGATCAACCCTGACTGCTCTTTAGAAGGCCAGATCCTGAAGTTGAAACTCAAGTACTTTGGCCACCTAATGAGAAGGAAGGACTCACTGGAGAAGAGCTTAATGCTGGGAAAGATTGAGGGCAATAGAAGAAGGGGACAACAGAGAATGAGGTGGCTGGATGGAGTTACTGAAGAAGTAGGCGTGAGCCACACTGTGTTCCATTCCTCTTCTTGGCTTGGATAATTGCAGAATAATGAAGTTTTTGTTTATATTTATTTTCTAGATCAAGAGAACATTCCAGAACAGCTCAAAAGCAATGTATCACATCCATCTGGAGACATAGTTAGTTGGAACCATGTTCCAGCCTCCATGCCAGCAACAGGCATTTCACAGTGGGAGATAAGTAAGTGTTTAGTTCACTTGTGGGAATGCTTTGTTTGTAGATGGTTTGTTTATTATAACGCACAGAAGTTGAAGGTTTTGGTATAATTGTTTTTTAATTACATCAAATGCTGCTCTTTAAGCTATTACTATACATAATAAGGAAATTATAATTTAATTTTTTATTTCTAGAAGCATTCAATATGCTGCAGCTTTAGACTAAGCAAGATAGCAAAAAAGAAAAAAAGTTTGCAATTATTTTTCAATTGTCAGGTTCTTTTATTATTTCAGTACAATAGTGTTTGGAGACAACAGTGAATATAGATGATTTGTCTGTCATTGTTGTACTAATGACCTGAGAGACCAAATCAATGAAATCATGAACATTTCACTGAATCTGAAATCATGAAAATTTTGTTCAAGTAAGTCTTATAGCATTAACCTTAGGAAGTGAATGCTGTAATTTAAGAAAGTACATAATGAGATTATGATTCCCTCTAATGAACTAAAATATATTTTATTACAAACAGACATCAATAAATGGCTAATATCTGCAATACAAAGATAAGCATTTCAAGAACAAGATATTTAATGATATTTTTAAAGAAAAAACACACAAAGTATTAAAATACATGTTCCAGCACATTTGACTTTAATGATGAAATAATGATGAAACTGCTGAATGTAACAGTGTAATGAAGGCATGTTTGATGTGGATGGAATAAAAGATTCAAGGAGAAAATTCACTTAGCTCCTTTGTCCATCTTGTTCCTTGTATGTCACCTATTGCCTCTTGGATAATTTGTTTCCAATATTTAGAGAGGAAAGATTCAATCTTTAAACTGTATTACACTATAAATGAAATAGTGTATAATCCTGAAATGAAACAGTTGAAAACAGATACTAGTGACATAGTATCACAACAGTGCACTTGTCTTCGTTAGTAGCTAAACAGGCTGTCTTTCTAAATTAATCTCTTCAGAATATATCCAGTAACACTGTTCCCCAAATCATAGGTCTTTTAAAACAAAAAACTAAATATAGAAGATGCCAGGTTCTGTCCAACTAATTCTGCAATCCACATAAAAAAATTATTTTGTTTTGGAAGCCTACAGTATTAGCAATTATGAAAAAGCAAAAGCATCATGGATCAGTACTAATAAGAGCACACATGCCCTGGAATCAGACATACCATACTAATAGGCAAATTATTGTTCTCTGTGATATGTACATTATTTGCATTGTTATATATTAGGTGGAACAGAGAAAACTGTCCTAGAGGGAAAACATCATGAAGAACAAAAGGAGCCAGAATTGGAAGAAGAAGGGGCCAAAGAAGAGAAAACACAAAGTGAGAGGTCTTTGGAAAGAGACCAAGAGAAACCAGATAAGGAAATAGTAATGTATCTCATTCTTACAATTTCACAAATGTTTATTTAAAATGTGTCCTGCACATTGAGCATACTCGATAGGGGTCATGGGTGCTAGAAGATTATATAACCTATGAAATGTTATTGTTATTGCTTATTGGGTTTGTTCTTGGTGGCTAGTGTAGTTTTTTACACTTTTGGTAATACTGGTTTTTCTATTGTTTTTAATATTTTAATTGCAACTGTGGGATAGTCGTATAAATCAGTTAAATAGTGTTCCAGAGGCAACATTGTGGAATAACTCTTGACTGTAATATCTTTGTACAAAGTGGAACAGTATAATGGTAGGTTTTTTTTAAAAAAAAATGATTCTGAGACTTTATTTTGATTTTTTAAGGTACAGCTTGAAGAATATAATATCACAATGGTAGATTTCTCTGTGCATGTATTTAATGAGTGTATTGTGTTCTTATAGGGTGGGAGGGAGGGAGAGGAAAGAGAGAAGGAGAGGGGAAAGAGAAAAAGAGAGAGGAAAGAGAGAGAGGAAGTGCAAGTGCCTCTCTCCCCCCCCTCTCCTCACCTGGAGAAAGAAGGGGGAGGGAGGGAGAGGAAAGAGAGAAAGAGAGAGGGAGAGGGGAAAGAGAGGAAAGAGAGAGAGGAAGTGCAAGTGCCTCTCTCCCCCCCTCTCCTCACCTGGAGAAAGAAGGGGGAGGGAGGGAGAGGAAAGAGAAAGAGAGGGAGAGGGGAAAGAGAAAGAGAGAGAGAGAGAGGAAGCGCAAGTGCCTCTCTCTCCCCCTCTCTCTCCTCACCTGGAGAAAGAAGGGGGAGGGAGGGAGAGGAAAGAGAGGGAGAGGGGAAAGAGAAAGAGAGAGAAAGAGAGAGGAAAGAGAGAGAGGAAGTGCAAGTGCCTCTCTTTCCCCCCCCCCTCTCTCTCACGCACACACACACACTGAGTGGGGGAAGAGGACTGGCAGACCAAGGGCAGAAAGAGTGAGAGAATGGGAGGGAGGGAGAGAGGGAGAGATAGAGAGAGACCCTTTTGACATCTGAAACGAAGATAACACTGAATATATATATATAATAAAGGTAAAAAAGGATATATGCAGTGTTATCTTCATTTTAGATGTCAAAAGGGTTTTGCGGCTCCCAGTGTTTTGTTTTTGGTGGGAAACGGGTCCAAGTGGCTTTTTGAGTGTTTTGGGTTGCTTACCCCTGTTCTACCCATACAGTGGTGCGCCATTGGCCAGAATGGGCAGTGATGGAGGGGGGAGCGCTTTTTTCAAAACATCGCATGCTATTTTGTGTGTCTCTTTGTATTGTACTTTTTTAGCATGCACACCAGTTCGATATTATATTTTCTTTGTGTCTTTTTAATCCTTTTTACAGTGTGCATGACTATATATACTTTCCTTGAATCTTAATTTAATTTCAGAAATTTGTCTTGAAATTCTTAGTTCCTGCATTGCAGTTTGTTCTTATGTCCTTTTTATATTTCTTTTTGCATCTTAAATTTCACTTGTAATTCAATCATTAAATGTTACTGTTTTTATTTTGGGGCATTTCACTTTCTTGCAATTGAATTTTGTTTTCAGTGGTCATTACATTTAAGTGTCTTGAATAAATAAGATAATAATGAAATACATGTATCATGAAGTTTGGGAATAAAGTGATGGGTGGCACCAAAACTTTTTCACACAGTTGAGATATGGGGAAAAGACTGGAAATAAATTATTTGCATCATATGTCCTGATGACAATTTTAAAGAAAACAAAAAAAGTGTTTGCATAAATTGAAGAATTATTTCCTATGTTGTGATTGAGAGGTTATGTTGGGGGAGGGGGGCGATGACAATTTCCTCATTGGCTCAAGGGGGCGATTTGTTCAAAAAGGTTAAGAACCACTGGTCTAAATCAAAAGGAACATGCTACCTATAATATTCAATTTACCTTGCATTAATTTGAATAGGCTTTGGAGAGATTGTTGAAGTTAAGAAAATAGATGATCAGGGTTTTGGTTTTATATTTAATTATATTCCTGATGATTAAGCATCAAGCTTGTGATCATGAGTCACAGTTAGCCCATCAAGACTGAATCCAGCCAACACTATCAAATATCCACATCTTTAACCCAATATATTTTTTAACAGATAGAAGCAGAATCCTACCCATTATTATTCTTTCTTCTTTTTTTCCTGCTCCCCGTACTACTACTTAACAGAATTGGAAATCGTGCTCAGTTAAGAATACAACTTTTGAAATTTTCAGGGATTACACCAGTTGTCTTTGTGACTAGTGCTGTTCTGCATAGATTTCTAGAGCAGTACTTGATCTAATTTCCTTTTTTATGAAGTAATAATAATAGTAATAATAATAATAATAGTTGGAAGGGACCTTGGAGGTCATCACGTCCAACCCCCTGGTCAGGCAGGAAACCAGACAAATGGCTGTTCAGTCTCTTCTTAAAAACTTCCAGTGTTGGAGTATTCACAGCTTCTGGAGGCAGGTTGTTCCACTGATTAATTGTTCTGTCAGAAAAATTCTCCTTAGTTCTAGTTTGCTTCTCTCTTTGGTTAGTTGCTTCTTGTCCTGCCTTCAGGTGCTTTGGAGAATAGCTTGACTCCTTCTTCTTTGTGGCAGCCCCTGAGATATTGGAACACTGCTATCATGTCACCCCTCGTCCTTCTCTTCATTAGACTAGACATACCCAATTTCAGCAACTGTTCCTTATATGTTTTAGCCTCCAGTCCCCGATCGTCTTTGTTGCTCTTCTCTGTACTCTTTCTAGAGTCTCAACATCTTTTTTACATCGTGGGGACTAAAACTGGATGCAGTATTCCAAGTGTGGCCTTACCAAACCATTGTAAAGTGGTATTAACACTTCACGTGATCTTGATTCTATCCCTCTGTTAATACAGCCTAGCACTGTGCTGGCTTTTTTGGCAGCTGCAGCACACTGCTGGCTCATATTTAAGTGATTGTCCACTAGCACTCCAAGATCCCTCTCACAGTTGCTACTATTGAGCAAGGTACCACCTATACTATACCTGCACATTTGGTTTTTCTGGCCTAAATGTAGAACCTTACTTTCATTTTTTTAGATAGCGCCCAATGTTCAAGTCTGTCAAGATCCTTCTGTCTCTTAAGCCTGTCTTCTGGAGTGTTGGCTATTCCTGGCAGATTAGTGTCCCCATCTATCCCCTGATCCAAATCATAGATGAAGATGTTGAAGAGCACTGGGCCCAGAACAGAGCCCCGGGGTACCCCACTACACACTTCCCTCCATGTAGATGCAGTTCCATTGAGGACCACATGATGAGTATGGCCGGTCAGCCAACTACGAATCCATCTGATGGTGATGCTGTCTAGCCCACACTTTTCTATCGTAACAAGTAGTAGGTTGTGGTCTACTTTATCAAAAGCCTTACTGAAGTCCAAGTAAATTATATCCACAGCATTCCTCTGGTCCATTAATTTTATCACCTGGTCAAAGAATGCAATAAAATTTGCCTGGTATGATCTGTTTTTGACAAACCCATGTTGGCTTTTGGTAATGATTTTGTTTGCCTCTAGGTGTTCACTGATTCGTTGCTTGATTATCTTTTCCAAGATAATTGAACAACATTATCATAGATCTCTTTGGAAAATTCATTTTGTAAAAAGTCATTCCACCGGTCTAATTGGTCACTGAAGCTTTCTTCCCTTAACTTTAGGATATTCTTATCCAGAACCTATCTTGAATGCTCCTTGCCTCAGTCAGAGAAGGGAATACTGATTACTTTTTATGGATGTTCTTTGCAGTGTAGTGTAGTATGGCTGCTGTGTTTAATACCACTCCTTTTATTTGATTGAAAGTGCATTTCTTTTTTTTTAAGTTTTATTAATTTTTAAGAGTTACAATCTTTAGAGCTTAGTAAACAACATGTTGTCTGGGTTCACATATTTAACATTGACTTCCTCGATATAAATCTATTCAGTACTGCACAATCAAGTATTTTTTTCCCTGGTCCTCCTTTTTCCCCCAAATTTGTCCATTTTCCTCTCATTACACAATTACAATTCTTGGTACTATTGATATATACAAAGTTAGATATAAACATCTTCATCATATTTTACTAATATTATACAAATAATAATATCAATTTATAAATCAATATCCTGTTTTTCGTGCTGTTGTTAAAGTTTGACTTCCCATCAACATTTAAAGTATATTTGTCAATATGATTGATTTTCTCAATATTAATTACATTTATATAGCTAAAAGTTTTATTCATACCAATCCTCTTATTTTCATATTGCCCATATCAAAAGAAGAAAAAATGCTATTTTAATTCTAAATCATATCTTTCATTATAAAAGTTAATTATATCTAAGAGTCATCCATTCTTTTAATCGTATTCAAACAAGTATTTAAACATATTAAAATCTTCTATTTTTTTAAATCTAACTCTTTCTTTCTTTCTTTCTTTCTTTCTTTCTTTCTTTCTTTCTTTCTTTCTTTCTTTCTTTCTTTCTTTCTTTCTTTACCAAGTAGTTTTCCAAGCCAAGACAATTAAATCACCCAGGAATTTTCTTTCTATTTTTATGAAAGTTGCTTAGCACGAGGAAGACAATTTAGGTAGGGTATTTTGGGGGGGAATTCTGCCCATTTATGTTCCTTAAGCAACTCCCACCTTCCTTCTCCCTCAATTTCTCTTCTCATCTTTTGTCTCCCAAATCGTAACATTTCCCCTGACAGCTTTATGTTCCATTCCCCAAAATCTTCCTTGTCACCAGGTGCATCTTGCAGACTTAAACGGTAAAGGGTCTTTTGCATTTTCATTGTTATGGGTAAGTCTTGCAGAATTTTATTTGAGTGTGGTAGTTTATATTTTCCTTCTTTCATCTCTTCCATCTCTAAGTCCATTTCCTCTGCTTCATCTTCTGATCTCTGGTTTATTTGTTTATACTTTGTAGTCGTCATCTGGGAACTTTGTAGTCATTGTCTGGGAACTTTCTTGTTGTAGGTTTAATTTGGAAATTTGCTCATTTATATTATCTAATTTTTTTAGTCTCATGGTTTCTTTTTATGTCCTCTTTGTATGCAACAATTGTTTGGTGAATTAGTTGTAACGTAGAATATATTTCCTTCTGAAAGGTGTTTTTTTTTCTTGAGGCATCATTCCTGGAGATCCTCTAATATCACCAGTCTCAGTAAGAGTAGAACTAAGTTTTCTCTAGCTTTCTGATTTTTATTATGTAGCCCCTATAATCCAATAGTTTCCAGAATACATGTCCAGTCCCAAACGCAATATTTTATAGTGATCCTTTTTCTCAGGCATCCAAAAATTGTCAGTCAAGTAAGGTTATAATCCACAATGTTCAAAATGTTCAACCTCCCTCATAACAGCCAGCCAGACGTAATCAAAGTTCAAATTTTTCTTTCTCTCCCACTAGCTCTTGAGATTAAAAGTCCAAGCTCAGTAAGTGTTGATAGTCCAAAAAGGCCGGGTGATGAGTATGCCAAAATATTTTCCTTTATTGCCAGCTGTTCTCCCTTAAGCTAGGAGTCATCAGGCAGCCAGCTAGCTAGTCAAATCCACCACTAGATGTCATTCAGAATCCATTTTCCACTCTTAAGACAAAGGATTGATTTCTTATATTTCACCTCAATGATTTTTTTCCAAAGAGAAAATCTTAGCAATTATCTCAGTTCTCAAATTTTAAAACTGTAGCTTCCACTTCAATATTGTGTATTTCTGTCCCCCATAGAAATTAAAATGCCACTTCCATTCACATTCGGAGGTTTTTAGCTTCTTTGGAGCCTTTCCCAGGAAATTCAGTTCTAAAATAGTAAAGAAAGGATCAATATTCTCACCCAGTTCCAAACATGTTGTTTACGATGTGTTAATTGGTCTTTTCTTCTTCAGTTGTCAGCAGCTAATGGCTGGCCATAGGAATGTAGCCAGTCTTTCCCCTGCCGATTGGAGGGCTTTTCTTGGATCGAACGGAAAGACCACTGTCTCTCCATGATCAACGAGACACCCCTCCTTCTTCATCACCTCTTCGGGGCGACTTTAGGTCCTTTTTAGGGTCCCCAGCAGGGTGAAATCAGGCGCAGAAGGCAGAGCCCTGCCTTCCTGCATTCATGTCTTCACGACGCAAAACCGGAAGTCGAAAATGCATTTCTTTTAGTGTTTGCCAACTCTCCCTGAGAAGCAATAGCACATAAACTTATATACCACTTCATAGTGCTTTACAGCCCTCTCTAAGCTGTTTGCCCTCAACAATCTGGGTCCTCATTTTACTGATTTTGGAAGGATGGAAGGCTGAGTCAACTGTGAGCCGGTCAGGATCCAACTCCTGGCAGTGAGCAATGAGTTAGACTGCATTTTAACTTCTGTGCCACCACGGAACTGGGAACAATGTGTGTGTGAGAGACAGGAAGAATTAAGAGATAGACTTTTTTCTTTATGTTTCCTTTGCTTTCGTTTCTTTTTGATAAGGCTTTTTCATAGTCTGTATTTGGTTAATTATTTTCTTCTATTTATTTGGCTGCCCATCTTGCAAAAGTGATTGTGAATGGCTAACAGCAGTTTAAAAGACTGCCAAGTACAAAACAAATAAAAATATAAAAATAACAATAAGGAGCAAGAAATGGCAACTGGGATGATATTTAACAAAATTTCCCAAGCTTAAACTAACCTGACCCTCATGCCTGGGATCCCATCCAGGTCATCAAGGTTTCTGAAACACCAGTAAACCTGATCATGGTCAGTCAGCTGCTCCAAAGGGCAGGTCCTATGACAGGAAAGGCTGCTGAGTCTATATGTTAATCTTTGATAATGGGATCTGGAGTATCATCATACTTTTACAGCTGATGGGCTGAATAGAAACAGTAGGAAAGAAGTGGTCCTAAGGTTTGGTGGTTAACAGAACCAAGGCTAGAGCCTAGCAACATGATGTTAGCCCAGGCTCTACTAGTCACATGATTCTTGCCTTTCTCAGAAATGGAGGAGATTAAACATGCTTGGATGTTTTGATTATACCAAATTGAAATGTATCTTTACCACAGGGTAGTGTATGTTGTCACAGATAAAATACTGGGTGGAGATACAAGGACTTGGGTCAATTTTAATGTACTTTGCTCCAATTACATGTTATTTTTAATGCTTTTTGAAAGCGTATCCAAGAGTCATTGGAGATGAATGAAGAGGTTCAAAATGAAATAGTAACAAATGTACAGACAAGTACTCTGAAGTCTGAAGAACGTTCAGGCACTGATGTTTCCAATCCACTTGAAAAATACATGAAAATAATACACCAGAATAAAGATAAAGAACAGGAAAAAAAGGTAATATTTCGAATTAACATGAATAAGGTAATTTGAAGATATCATAAGTATAGTTATATACATTTCCTACCAACTGTATAGTTCTTTTCTCACTAAAGTAAAAGCTTTGCTAGACATAACCAATCAAAAGTGAAAACCAAAATTTTATCTTGTGGGAAAAAAATTGGAGGTTGCTTAGGGTGACTACACAAGTATAATTAGGCAAGTGAGTATTTTGACCATATCATTTCCATGCATATTTTCCACCTTCAAGCTGTATAAACTTGAATGCTTAATGGATATAAGCATATCAGGTAATGTGTATTTGTGTAATGAGGGAGAGTGTGGCCTAAGGAAATCAACACACTATATCAAGATGTGCATAATTATTAGGCAGCTTCTTTTCCTCAGGCAAAATGGACCAAAAAAGAGATTTCACTGACTCTGAAAAGTAAAAAAAATTGTAAAAAGTCTTTCAGAGAGATGAGCACTCTTGAAATTGCTAAGATATTGGGGCATGATCACTGAACCACCAAACGTTTTGTTGCAAATAGTCAACAGGGTCGCAAGAAACAAGTTGAGAAAAAAGATGCACATTAACTGTCAAAGATTTGAAAAGAATCAAACGTGAAGCTACCAGGAACCCATTATGCTCTAGTGCTGTCATATTCCATAACTGCAACCTACCTGAAGTGCCCAGAAGTATAAAGTATTCCATGCTCAGAGACATGGCCAAGGTAAGGAAGGCTGGCAGTAGGGAGTTGATTTTGAGTCCATCTTCAACCCGAAAAGATCCAATTAGCTCATCTTTAATAATACCAGCCCATACCAGTATCCCACCTCCACCTTGCTGGTGTCTGAGTCAAAGTGGAGCTCTGTGCCTTTTACTGATCCAGCCAGAGGCCCATCCATCTGATCGGTCAAGAGTCACTGTCATCTCATCCATAAAACCTTTGAAAAATCTGTCATCAGTTATTTCTTGGCTTACCATTTCAACTTATCTATTTTGTTAGTGGTGGTCGGGTTTCAGCCTTCCTTACCTTGGCCATGTCTCTGAGCACTGAATACCTTGTATTTCTGGGCACTCCAGGTAGGTTGCAGTTATGGAATATGACAGTACTGGAGGATAATAGGTTCCTGGTAGCTTCACGTTTGATTCTTCTCAAATCTTTGGCAGTTAATTCTCAACACATTTCTTGCAACCCTGTTGACTATTTGCAAAAAAAGTTTGATGGCTCTGTGATCATGCCCCAATATCTTAGCAATTTCAAGAATGCTGCAATCCTCTGAAAGACTTTTTACAATTTTTTACTTTTCAGAGTCAATTAAATTTCTTTTTTGGCCCATTTTGCCTGAGGAAAAGAAGCTGACTAATAATTATGCAAACCCTCCCTCATTACACAAATACACATCACCTGATACGCTTATAGTGTATATAAGCATTTAAGTTTATACAGCTTGGAAAATATGCATGAAAATGATGATATGGTCAAAATACTCATTTGCCTAATTGTGCATACAGTGTAAATATGAATGACTTGTATAATTCAGTCTAATATCAGAATTTAAAAAGATTATATATCTTATATTTTAAACTGACTCATTCCATATTTCCATATTTTTCTTGTGTACTTTTCTAGTTTTCAGTCTTGCATCAGTACACAATTAGTAGGTAGTTATAGCATTTAGTCTGGGTGATATTCTTCAAAAATGAATGGTTGCATATACATATTTTTGTTGTACAAGAAAAGAAACTATAGACTATGATTTGGACAAAAATAGCTAAACATACAATTTTTTTTTTAAGGAAATTCATTAGTTTTCTAACCAGAAATGAGTTTCAGAAGTTCAAGCTACCCTGTTGAACATCCTGTCTCCTGGTGGGCTATGTTGCATTGCAGGGTATGATGATAATGTCCTCAGATTCTAGCACATGGCTTTAAATTTGAATTTTAACATAAAACTACTGACATAGCTATTTGTTATATTATTCATTGATTACTTTTCAAGAAATGCAAGATCAAATCTTACACAATCCAAGATTATCTACAGATAAGAGAATACCAGCTATGAATTCCAGAATGTATATGGCTTCACCAAGGCATTAACTGATTTAATATAATCTTTTTCTTTGTCTACTTTATAGTAGTTTGGCTCATTTCACTAATCATTAATTTTGTTTAATTTTAGCTTAGGTGGTGAGCATACAAGATGAGTGATAAGACATTCCAAATTCTAATAATCAGTTCAGTTCTGAAGCTGAAAGAAAGCCAATTGCCATTTAGTTCCTTACCTCTTTTAACTGTTTCTTGCATTGGCCATTCCCTGAAATATTGTCAAACTAAACTTAAAGAGTTCATTTTTTATCTTTGCTTCACCATATTTTGCACCGTATCCGTTGAATGGTAAAAAATGATGGCAAGGATTTGTCTGACTGTAAACACTTAGATCAGTGGTTCTCAACCTGTGGGTCGGGACCCCATTTGGGGTCGAACGATCATTTCATGGGGGTCGCCAAACAACGCAGTCCGCCATTTCCCCCCCCCCCCTTTTCCTTAGCTGTGCTACTCCCTTTTATTCTACTGGCTTTTGAAAGCCAATAGAATAGACTCTCTTGAATAGAGTCTAATTCTATTGGCTTTCAAAAGCCAATAGGAATTGTCCAGGCTGTCTCTGCCCTGCTGAGCCCGCCAAAAGTCCCGTTCTGCAAACGGTGCTGCACCAGTTGAGTAGTCCTCGAGTTACGACCGGTTGAGTAGTCCTCAACTTACGACCGGTTGGGGGTCGCGGCATTAAAAAGGTTGAGAATCACTGACTTAGATTGAACAGGGGTAGTTAACTGATAGCTGCTTGCTTTATATAATTTTTGGATACTTAGATTTATTTTTGGATAGTTAGATGTAAATATTTAGATTTAAACAGGTATAGTTAACTGATAGCTATTTGGTCATATAATTTTTTCATTGCCTCCAATCTTTTCAATTTTTAAATGAATCTCCTCTAACAACTGTTGCAGTTTAATAAATAAATAATAAATAATCCTAACCTCAAAATTCTATTTATCCCACTGGTCCCTAGAAATTATCCGAGCTCCAAAGTAGAACACAGATTAAATATTTGAAACACTTCTGCCTCAGGGATGCTTCCGAAGCTCACGAGACATTTATAAACCGAGTTAACAACTCTCTTCTTTCTGTCAGAAGGCTGAGAAAGAAGCATTTGAAATATCATCTGAGGCACTACTGAGCAGTGAAAGGGAGGACAGGTATGCATCGTTCATTTTTTTCCTTGTCTGAGTTAAAAAGTCACTGAGCCATGCCTTAAGATCCAAGGTCCCTAGATGGGAACAGATTGGGAGCAGAGAATGTAAGGCTTGTTTATTCTCCTTCTCCACTGCAGCTTCCTGTGCCTTCCAAAGATTTGCTTCTGAGGATTGTGGAACTCAGAACTAGAGCAAACAGTAACTTGCATTATTTCCTCTTCCATAGTGAGGCGCTTCCACTGGATAGCAGTCTTCCCTTTGCAACCCTCAGGCTGAGAGGCAAGCAGTGCTACCTTGCTCGACACTGCTATGCTTTCCCTTTGGTTATGTAGTACTCAAGCCCAAAGGTTTCTCAGTAAAAGAGCAGTGGGTTGAGGAAAGCATATGGGGGGGGGGGTATCACAAGAATGTAAGTTTCTCCATAGCTAATGCTCCCAAAATTAACTTTTTTTTTTCATAGCGTTAGTGTTGCAGACATTCCCCAGGAAAGACCTGATGACAATTTTTGGTGAAGATGAAATAGTGGTAACTGGAAAAAAAATGTGATTGATATGGAAAACAATCCTTGGACAGTAAGGATAATTATTTTGAACAACCCTAAATATTTATGTCTATAAAATAATTAATGAAGAAATAATATATTGGTATACATTGCTGTTAGTAATATTGTAGTATTGCAGGCCTTGAGAGAACACTTTTGATACTTTGTATTATTTAGAAAATGTTGCTATTGTGAAAAAACTGCTTAAATTGTTTTATTGTATAAAGTGGACAGAAGGTTTCTTAAATTGATTTAAAAAGTTTTTTTATTTTAAATTTAAATTAATTTTAAAAAGTATATTTTGCTACAATCATTATAGAAGTTGAAAATTTCTCAGTTTCATTGTATCTGAATTCTATTGTTCCATAATATTGCATTCACAAATAGTGAGTTATAGCTCTCTGTAGCCAAAGTATCATTAACATTAATTAAAATCTGCATCTTTGCACAGAATGCATTTGAAGATTTTTTATTTTTTGAATATTAACTGTACATTGAACTAAGCGAAACACTTTTAGAAACAGCCATATTTTATATCCTCTCACTTCATATCCTGTACAAAGAATAGAATAGAATAGAATAGAATAGAATAGAATAGAATAGAATAGAATAGAGCTGGAAGGGACCTTGGAGGTCTTCTAGTCTAGCCCCCTGCTCAAGCAGGAGAACCTATACCATTTCAGACAAGTGACTGTCTAGTCCAGGGGTAGGCAACCCCCCAGCCAATCAGAGCACAGCCAACCCCCCAGCCAATCAGAGCACAGCCAAGCCCCTAACCAATCAGAACACAGCCAAGCTCCCACCCAATCAGTTCATACCCCCACTGGCAGTTAAAAGGAAGAAACAGCTAAGACCACACATTGCTCCTCGAAGCACGAAGCTGAAAACACCAGCCTGAAGATGACAAATGGGACTTCGTCGAAACGTCGCCAAGACACTTCCAATTTCACGCGGGAGAAAACCCGAACAACCAAAGACCTATATACATATACATATACATACATACATACATATATACATACATATATATATATCATAAAGGTAAAAAAGGATATATCTTCATTTTAGATATCAAAAGGGTCTCTGTGTCTCTCTCTCCCTCCCTCTCTCTCCCTCTCTTTCTTTCTGCCCTTGGTCTCTCAGTCCTCTTTCCCCCCCTCTCTCTCCTTCCCTCTCTCTCTCTCTCTTTCTCCCCCCCTCCTATCTTCTGCTGACCTGGCAAGCTGGCTTCAAGCTGTTCTCCAACAAGCTCAGAGGTAGGCAACCTTAGCTCTTTTATGACTCATGGACTTCAATTCCCAGAATTCCTGAGTCAGCATAGCTGGGCTAGCTAGCTCTCTCTTGCCCTTCCTGCTTCCTGCAGAGATGCAGCAAAGGGAGGAGCCATGCCCAAAAAGATTTCAATTTGTCGGAGAACACAGTGAGTCCACTCTCTTTTACACACACACACATACATACACACATAAACACAGTGACAGAGACAGAGAGAGACAGAGAAGCAGGGAAGCGGAAGTGCCTCTCTCTGTCTCTGTCTCTCTCTGCAAATGGCAGAGGAGGCTGGGAGCCACAAGGGAAGGCTCAAAGAGCCGCATGCGGCTCCGGAGCCGCAGGTTGCCAACTTGCGGTCTAGTCTCTTCTTAAAAACCTCCAGTGATGGAGCACCCACAATTTCTGAAGACAAGCTGTTCCACTGTTAATTGTCCTCACTGTTAGGAAGTTTCTCCTTAATTCCAGGTTGCTTCTCTCTTTGGTCAGTTTCCAACCATTGTTTCTTTTCTTATTTTGCCCTCTGGTGCTTTGGAGAATAGTTTGACTCCCTCTTCTTTGTGGCAGCCCCTCAAATATTGGAATACTGCTATCATGCTGCCCATTTCTTCTTTTCTTTAGACTACCAAACCCAAGTCCTGCACCCGTTTCTTCATATGTTTTAGTCTCCAGGTCTTTGATCATTTTAGTTGCTCTTCTTGGAACCTTTTCCAAGGTCTCAACATCCTTTTTGTAGTATGGTGACCAAAACTGGTTGCAGTATTCCAGGCATGGTTTTACTAGAGTTTTATAAAGCGGTACTAATGCTTTGCGTGATCTTGATTCTATGCCTCTGTTCATACAATCCAGGACTGTATTAGCTTTTTTGGCTGCTGCTGCACACTGCTGGCTCATAATCAATTGATCGTCCATTAGAACTCCAAGGTCCCTCTCACAGTTACTGTTTTTTAGCCAGGTCTTACCTAATCTGTACTTGTACCTTTGATTTTTCCTACCTAAATGTAAAACTTTGCTTTTCTCTACATTAAAGTTCATTTTGTTGGATAGGGCCCATTATTCAAGTTTATCAAGATCATTTTGGATCCTGAGCTTGTCTTCTGGGGTGTTGGCTATTCCTGCCAGTTTAGTGCCATCTGCAAATTTGATGAGTTCTCCAATTTTAAAATAGGGGAATAATAATTATACACTTGTTACACAATTAAACCTCTTTTTAAAAGTATTTGTGATTATTATATCTTACTGTTAAAGCAAAAATTATTCATGGTGACTTTTCTTCAAGCTATTCAGGGAAAGTTTGGAAATGAAAATAATGTAGGATCCTTGCTCTCTGAGATTGGTTGTTTTCTTGCAGACATTTCATTACCAAAGGACGTAACATCCTCAATGCTAGAAGGGAGTGAGGTTTGCTCTCATTTATATACTAGTGCCTTACATTTGTATTTTGCAAATAAACTTGTTCACATTTGTTGAATTGGATCCTGAATGAATAGGTTCTCATGAAGTGGCATAAAGTCTTGAAAGATCACCCAGGATACTTTTGAGCCTGTGAAACAAGGATGAAGTCCCTCACCTGTGAGCTTGATCTGTTTCTCATAATTGATACTAGCTGCAAGAGGGGATAGATTCCAGATGTGAATGCATCTTTGAAAAAAGCATTAATTTTACCAACCTTGAAAAATATGTTTGTCCCAAAAACAAAAAATCCAGTGTTTCATATTATCACCAACTTTTTTTTCCTAGGGAAAGTTATAAAGAGCTGGTTAATGGCACAATAAAAGTTGCTTTGCTCTGCTCTGCTCTGCTCTGCTCTGCTCTGCTCTGCTCTGCTCTGCTCTGCGTGGAGTGGCAATTACATAGGGCTATGGATAAAGCACATTACATGACTTCCATCTAGTCTAGATTGGGCTATAGCAAACTGGAAATTGCATTAATCACTCTTAGACAATCTGCGATTGGACCTTTGGGGGGTATGCAAAGAGGAAATCTAACTACTTATTTATAAAGGTTTAAATTAATCTGCACGGTAATATAACTGTGGATATGATATATAGCTAGAAATACATTTATGAACATATATGTATGGTCATAAATAGGTACCCCTGAGCTGATTTCCAGATAAGTAGAAAAATGACTCTTTTCAATTTAGCAAAAATAAATCCCAGATAAAAGCTATCCAAAATTCCATCATTGTAAGATAGATCTCTCAAAGAAAATTCAATACTATTGGCAGCGTTATTGTTTTATGCCATCTCCTAAAAGAGGAAATCTAACTGCTTATTTACAAAGGTTTGAATTAATCTACTTGATAATGTTATAACTATGGGTATAATTAGAAATACAATTTATGTATGGTGATAAATAGGTGCCCGAGATGATTTTCAGATAAGTAAATACATGATTCTTTTCAATTTAGCAAAACTATATCCCAGCTAAAAGCTATCTAAAGTTTCATCATTGTAAGACTGAGGTCTCAAAGAAAATTCAACACTTGGCACTATTGTTGTTTTGGGCCACCTCCAAGGGTCAAGAGATTGAGAATATTGTTTTATTGCTCCTTCCTGAAGGGCACTTTTATTGGGCAATATTGCAGAAATAACGGTTGAGTCATTGGACACTTCAGTATGAGTTGTTCCAGGGCTTCTTTAATAACCTTAAGCTTTTGAGACAGGTCATCTGTCAGCTTGGGATGTGGTACTGATCATTTCCTTAAAAAAAAGACGCCTTTTGTGGCTAGGATCCTCTTTACCTTGGAGATTGTCTACTGCAAGTGGAATCTCAGGTCTGTGAGGCTTGGGATTTGGAATCAGTGTATTACAGTGGTTTCACTCCAGTCTGTGATTGAAGGGAAGTCAGCCCAATTCAATTCAGCTTTAGAACAACTATATGCAAGTGACTGAAGAAATCATTTGTGCATGTGGGGAACATTATTAGCATATTAATAATATACAGCTTTACATCTCCATCTTGTCTGGAACTGGTGGGCAAAACAGGCTGAAGTTGAATTTATGTAAACTGTTGCAATATACAAATAAAGTGAAATCAAAAAGATTAAAAATATGTATAGCAACACGGAGAGACTTATCTTTCTTTTTATACGAACTCTCCAACTATACATGTAATACATGCAAACTTATAATTGTGTGCTACCCCAAAACCAGAAGGAATGTACAGTCACAATTATTTTAATGACACACAACTATTGAGTCTATTATCTACAAATATTTATTTGTAACATTTCGATATAACTACAGGAAGCCCTTGGCACTGATATAAAATATTGATTCACGGTTAGGTTACAAAAAATTATACATAGCAAAATTTAATACTTTTACATAAAAAAAATAGGCTACTTAAACAAAACTTCAAAAAACTCCCAGTAATAGCTACAAAGAATTAGAAAAGGATTAGGCTTTAAGACATTGTCTGTTACCTTTATGCAAACACTGGACTAGAAGAACACCTGCATTGCTGTAGAAAATTGTCTCCTTCATGCAACAGGTAAAAACACTAAACTATTTCTTACTTGCTTTATATAGATTTTGCTTCTTTAAAAAAAGTCAGCTTTAGACAAGTTAAATGCAAAGTAATACCTGATTTCATTTTCCATACCAATCTTTTTTGTTCAACCTGTCACTTTCAACAATTTTTTTATGTTCTAAAAGAGCATTCATATTCAGCACACATTCAAAACAGGGATGCATGACTTAATTGTTCACTGATTTGAAATTCACTGATGCATTTTATTTTTCTTCAAACATTTATGTGTTTGTTTTTTTAAAAAAATAGCACACCAAAAAAAGCATCACTAGTAAGCTAGCACTGAAATTTCTGAAAATGCTAGAAGGCAGAGATATTAAGGGAGACAGTTTGAAATGGCACCCTCTGTTTTTCAAACATCACAATTTTTCATAAGAGAAAACTATTACAGCTTATTGGATTGAGCACCAAAACTGAGGTGAGTGTTGACCTGTAATCTGAGGGGCTAAAAGTTTTTAAATTCTTTAAAGTTTTCATCTTCAACCTGAAACAATTGAGTGACTGACCAGAGAGTAATATTTTCTGCTTTGATAAAATTGAGACAGGATAATGATATCCCAGCTGCTGTATGCTATAAATGCTCAGAGACATTTATAGAAAATAAACATTAAGGCAAAGCTGACATTTATTTTCGGAGAAGGGAATCACTATTCTGATTTCGGAGTCTTGGTCTATTTTATTAAACAATTTTTAAAAATCCCCTGGGGCAAGAGTTCCCCGCTTACTCTGATAAGTGCAGTAAAACAAGAGAGTCTCATTGCAGCTTTAATGTGCAAGGTCCAGTTTTAATTTTGACAGGAACTGAATGTCGATTTACAATGTTCTGAAACCATATCAAACAAGCATTCAGAATAAAGGAAATATCTAGTTAAATCCTAGAATCTGAGTTACACCTGTGCAATTATATACAGCCTTTTCAAATCTTCTAGACATTAGAGGGCTGGATAATACCAACTCTGGTACCCTGCTTAGGAATAACAATAATAATAATGTTATGATTGCCAAGAGAAATCCATGAAGGTGTTTTAGTTAGCAAACTATTTTTTTACAGTGGCCTGGAATGTGATACCCTTTTCCCCCCAATTCCAAATGCAGTGCTAAAAGGAATTAAGGATATTCTCTGTAACTTTTTCCTATGGATATGGCCCAGGAGTGCTTGGACAATATATCTGCTTGATGATTTGTCGGAGCTACAAAATTCTTCTGGAAAAAGGCTCTGGCAAGCATTTATGTGTAAGAATTGAGTTGCTCTTTGGACCGAGACTGGATATCTTGAAGTTCCTGCTCTTCTTTAGCTTTGATATCCTGGTAAGCCTGCATTTTGCTTGCATCCTTTAAGTAGGCCCAGTTAGAAGATAGTATCATGAGGGAGTGGATCTGGAAGAGAAGGGTGAGCATGATGGCTAGTGAGTATGTCAAGAGGCAAAGCTGGCAGCTAGTAAGATTAATACCAAGTCATTCTAAAAATATATTAAAAATAGGCAAGAAAGTTTATTTCTAAAAGTATGTAGAATGCTGCATGCTGAACAAAGAAGCAGCTGGCAAAAAGTTAGGAAGGAAAAGGAAGAAAAACAATTAATGGGAAAGAACGGAAACAGAAAAGCTGAGAGAACATTGTCCATGTTTACATGCTGAAGCCTCCCAAGCAAATCAAATATGTAATGGTTCTTCCCATTCTCATCTGCCACCTGAAGGAAAGGAAACTCTACAGTTGACCACTTGATTATGTTCCATTGTATTTCTTGGGAGTAAATAGAACGAGATATTGGGTAAAAAATGTTTATTTGGTGCTGCATAGTCAATAATTACACTATGGGAATTATCAGGTAAGAGATGAGTTATCAAAAGTGGAAAGTTTTCTATTTTCCATAGGTAAAAAAATCCACAAAAAGCAATGTAAATAAGACATGCTACAGGTGAACTGTATAGGCTTTGTGTCTGACTGGAAAATGAATGGATATGTTTGAATGAAATGCTAAACTAGTGAACAGGTATTCTGAAGTTTAGTTGTGTCAAAGCAATTGAGTAATAAAAGACTTCATTGGAGTTACAGCTAGTTTTATTTTATATTGCTAAAAGAAAGTTGAGTGAGACTTGAGAACTTTGTGAACAATCTAGTATTTCTATGACATTGGGTGTTATCAAGAAGCAAGCTCATATATTATGTGTTGTCTACTGTATAACACATTTTATTGTTTTTCATATTAGTGAACAGTAGTGATAGAATAACTTATTGTATTACAGAGCTTAATTGACTCAAACATTGTTTCACAAATAATTATTAGGAAAAAATAGCCTGATAGTAAATGAAAGCCCCTCTTCCTTTAAAACATGGGTGTCAAGCTTGCCACATCAAGTGATGTGTCGCAACATATCATGACTTTTTTTGCATTGCCAGAGCTGGGGTGGGCATGGTCTCCATATGATGCAGCCGGCAGTTTGATACCCCTGCTTTAAAAGGATGATTTACAACATCACTTTAAGATTGTGTTCTCTCATAGGATAGAAAATAGCCAGGCCTCACTCACACAGTTATCTGTATACAAGAAATAATTTGTATTAATCTAAAATGCTTAAAGATGCTTACTGAAGCTATTTACAATTTACTGTAACAAACTTTAAAAATCTAGACTCTTGGTCTAGGGTGTCAGTGGCATTTTAAACTACATAATGCAGCTTATTCAATTTAGAATTTAGTGCAGCAATCTTCCCGACTCTTAAACTTCAAAACAGCAAAGTTATATGTAGTAGCCATCATGTAGATCAGCTGGTGGAAGAGAACAAAATACAGCAGATAAGAGACAATAATTTGCCTTTTTGGCAATTAGATTTGTATTAGATCACAAAAAGACTGTCAGGCAAGGATTTCCATTTTAATAAAACTTAATAACAAAAAATCTAAAGTCTGTTAGGTTTCTCTACCCCTCACTTTGGCCACAAGAAGGGCATTTTGCTGCCAAGGAATAGTCTTTGCACTTGACTAACAAATTAAAATCTAATCAATGCAAAAAACTCCTTGATGAATCTCACTAGTACTTCCTCTACATCTACTATAGATAGTTAAAATAAGCTAATGTGCTTTGCTTCAGTAAAGTTTCTTAAATTGAAACAAATATAAATGTTTAAAGGGAAAAAAAGAGAAGATTATTAATTAAAGCTAATTCCAAAGTTGAGGAACATTTTGAAGTATTCTAATATTTCATTATTACCAGCATACTTCTATAAGGAAATGCCTTATTTTGACCATGCAAGAGAATGGAGTTAAATAACATAGCCAAAATGACTTCAAAAAATCCCAACAATAATAAATCTTACTGCTTAGGCAAAGCTTTCTTGGTAACAATAAATCTTCCTGTTGTTTGGAGTATCCTCACAAAACTATAGCCAGTGCCAACCAACACAAAAAGTATAATTTCGCTTCAGTTTAAATACTTGGTTTCATTTGACAAGGGGTTTTAGTTATTTTAGAACTGAAAGAATATAATGATACTCACTAGAGCTATAACAGTAGCACCCGCTCCAGCACAAGCCACAATGAACAGGTGATATGACAAGTAGAACTGTAAGGATAAAACAAACGACAGTTTCAGATTAGCAGTTCTTGGACCCTAACTGGCAATCTCATTCTATGGTGTGGAAAAAAATAATATAATGCAAATATTGATACTCCTCTTTTGTATGTGAATTCTCATACTAATTTTTCCTTAGGAATACATATACTACAATACTGTAAGCCATTCCCAAGTTACTTCTGTTCCTCACACTAGAGATGCTACACAGGATCTTTGAAAGCATTTAAGCACCAGAAGACCATTTTCACTAAGGTAATATTTTTTTTACAAATTTCTAGAATACATTCTATTATAATCTTACTGTAGCCAAGTGAGGTTTCTGATAGTATAGAAAGAAATTGCATCAATAATTTACACTTCTGTCTCAATCTTTGTATAATCAGTGCCTGGCCATTGTAAACAGCTGATGAATGATAGTCAAATTGTTCTGGATGGGATTGATCTTTTGCATGTTTTTGACAATCTTAGTTGGCTGTTATGGTCATATTTGATGCTATTACAGGGATGTTTGTTTGTTATTTGTGTCCCACATATATTACAACTAACTCAAAGTGGTGAACATATCCAAACACTCTCATCCTCCTGTTTTCCTGTTTCACACTATAATAAGGAAAACCTAGCTAATTTGTCTACAACACAGGTGTCAAACTCGCCACGTCATGTGACATGTCACGATGTATTGTGACTTTTTTTACATTGCCGGAGCTGGGTGGATGGGCCAGCAGTGTGACATCCCTGGTCTACAATGTGCATGTGTTTGCTTTTAAAGTAAAACATACTTCAAGCTGCAGTTGCAGTAGGACTATATATAGGCTGTATTCCTAATGCTCACAACATAATGAGCCCTCATCTGGTATAAAGAGCACACTTGTTCTCCCTAGATTAATTTAGCCTCGCATTAGCATTATTAGCACTATCTCATGAGCAATGTGTTGTTCCTTCTTGATTAATTAATTTTTAGATAGCTGATTGTTAGGTAATTTTATTAAAATATGGATGAGAATAATGAAGCATTTTGTCTCCTTTACCTCAGGAGTGCTGCACATATTAGCTAAGGTCGATCCACATGCCTTACCGGGAATAGCATTCCAAGGGATGATTCCTGAAGTTAAATACCAAATAAAACATTTTAATGTTAGTTAACACCACTTCCCTTCTTGAAATTCAATTTCCCTCCCACCTGTGGACAAGTTCTGTTACTTTATCATTCACCTACATGTTGCCCAATGCAGTCTGGACTTGGCATTACTAAGTATGAATTCACTAAGCTGTGTTCTCCTTGTCAAAATGTGTTCTCAGATTTAGGATTCTCATATGGTAAACAAATGGTTGTTTTAGTCATCGAGGACAATGTCATTTGCTGTGCTTGTTGCCTATATTCATTAGGTAAAAACTGCTTTTCAGGATTTACCTTAGTTTAGAGTGTGATGTTGCAACTACTGTCAGAACAATCCCACTCAGACCTAGCTTTTTTTTTTTCATCTACGTGAGCTGCTTTATCATACCAGAATCTCTGTTTCTATTTTCCACTACCCAACTTTGTAAGTATCCATTTTATTCTCTTTGTTTCTGTATTTAACAAACATTCATCATGTAACATCAAAACTCTCAGTGTCGTACAAGGGTAAATTTTTATCATCCCAAATATTTGTGCCTTCATGTCTCTCTTTTTAGAAGATTCTATTATTGTGACTGTGAATATAAGCAATAAAGTATGTATTCAGAAATCTCTTACAGGTCTGTAATAGCCATAAAATATGCAATGGGTACAAATCTGAACTGAAGTCCCAAATGATCATGGCAAGTTTCTTTGCTTGTTTAAATAGGACTTTACCCAGAGGTGGGGAAACAGCTGTCTAGCATTCCCAGCATCCTTCACTACTAGTCACATTGGCTCATTCCATAAAATATGGGAAGTCACGATTCTTAGCTTAATCCAGTGTTTCTCAATCTTGACAATTTTAAGGCAATGCTGGCTGTGGAATTCTGGGAGTTGAAGTCCACATGCCTTAAAATTGTCAAGATTGAGAAACATTGGCTTAATCTATTGGTAGGAGTTGGAATTTTTTTGTATGGAAAATGTCTTGCCTTCTGTTAACTGTTTAGTCTGAATTATTTTTATAGGTTATCAAAAAGATAATGGGTTATCGTTTTGTGCAGGCCATATTTTATTACTATATCCATCTTTATGCATTATGCTACTTATAATATTATATTCACGTTATTTTTTTAGAATTCATAGTGCATTTGTAAGTGCAGCAGTTTTTTTTCTCACATCCTCTCTAAATGATAATATCTGCAGCCCCATTCCAAATATCCAAATGTTGGATCACTATCCAACACTGCAACAAAAAATTATCTCTCATTTAATACAGTATCTAAAATAACATGGTAGCAAGCAAATTGAAACTAATTTAAGATACTGTAGATATATGGCCTAGATCAGTGGTGGGATTCAAATATGTGAACAACTGGTTCTCTGTGTGGATGCCGCTTCCAGAAGTCCATTCTGGGCTTGGGCAACAAAAAATTAGTTACCGGTTCTGCCGAAGTGGTGCGAACCAGCTGAATCCCGCCATGGCCTAGATGTGTTAAAACTAGAACTTTAATTCTCTGGCTCTTCATTACATTGAATAACTTTCTACATACATTTATAATTGTTTTGTCCACTTTTCATATATCATTTACTACATTACTGGATTTGACAATAACAAAACACTATGTTAAGCTCTCCACTATGTGTATAAAATATCAGCCTCATTGTTAACCTTTTATCGCTGCATTTACTGACCAATTAATAAGTATATTCATTTCAAAATAAGAAAACAGGGTAAAAGATATCTATATACATGCAGTGTAATCTGCATTAATTGCAAAAGCAATAATGTGTTCAGAAAATCCACACATAGTTGCTTCTCAGTTCATCTCATGAGGATAAGACAATTCATCTTGAAAGCAGGACAAGTAAACAGGATAAAACATTTAATCAGATTAAAGTAAGTACCATACTGCCGGATATCCACACAGATCTGGTCTGCTGAAGTCATATTTGCTGAGAGTGATCTGATGACCTCACAGGTTGACCACATGTTGTAGAACATGAAGACTGGCACAGCAGAGAATCCAAAAACACCCAGCCAGGCCACCCCAAGAACATAAGTGAGGAAAACAAACTGTGAAGAAAACAGACATTTTATGCAGAAATCTTTATTTATAGTGAATTTGAGTGAGAGGAAACTGGCACATTATTGATATTTCACATGGCCTTGACTTACCTTTCTATAAATGCCTTCCATATCCAACAAAACCACAATACTTTGTTTAAAAATATATCCCTATCAAAATAGTCTGACTTTCTAAATTGTGCTTAATGAAATAATAATTTCAGCTTTCAATAAATATAGTGAGGGATTAGCTACACAAGCAAGTTTTCATTATGAGCACAAAGTATTCGTTATGCTTACCATCTCCCCAAGGTCTCCATTTGGATAAAAAGTATTCCGGTGGCAGCGGAAAGGAGATGGGGGGAACAGGAGACAGGTACTGAGTTTGTACCAAAAATAAAAGTTTCTGGGGTCCATGATCTAGAAAGAGTTCAGGTACCCATTCTCTGCAAAAGAGTATGGGTACTTAAACTCGTGCGATATTATGGCATCCAGGAGCTTCCTTTACTCTCTTCTCCCTCAAAGGCAGAAATCACGGCAGAGAGGAGACAGATCTTCTCAAGATGAGTCTGAGGTAGCAGGAAGGGAGGGCGAAGCAGTTGTGGGGGATGGGGGGAATAGAGTGAATATTGCAGAGGCTCTGCAGTCATTTGTAAGGGCAAACAACTGCTGTGGTGCTACAACATTTATAATTTTGGAATTTTCTCATAAACACTAGGCGGCACTTATTGTGTAACTTTGAACAAGCGTTAAGTAAACACTCTTATCTAATGTCCATGTAGTTTGGCTGTGTGTCATGTCCCTTTTTTCAGGTGCCCTGCCATCCTGGTGGACTGGGGAGGAGGCCTCTTTGGGGAAGCATTCTTTGCATACTTTTGCTTTTGCTGTAGCTGTTTGGGAATTAGGGAGGGGGATCGTCTTCGGAGATGGAAAGGACTCCTTCCAAGCCAGTTCCAGCCTAACACCAAGGTCACTGTGCCCCGAAGATGAACTGTTATCAGTCTTGTGCTTCGATATTCTCAAAAAAATCTTGCAGCACTATATTGGCTGCGGGTGGACTGGTCGGGGGGGGAGCTGTGTTTCAAAGTGGGGAGAATAGCTTGAATTAATAAATTCAACCTAATTCTTAAGCGCATTAAACAATGAGCACATAAAATAATGATCTGTCTTTCAACCGCATCAAGAAAGTCAGCTCACAAGCAGAAAGCAAAATGTTACTGACCTTCCTATATCTTAAATCAGACATGTCAAACACAAGGCCCGGGGGCCGGATGCGCCCCACGAAGTGATTTCATGTGGCCCACGAAGCCATCCTGGAAACAGTGAGGGAATGGCCCCTGCTGCCTTGGCCCTGGCCCAGGCCAGCCGGGAGCCAATGTACAATTTTGTGGTGGCCATCTTGGCACTTGCCCCGGTGGACCATGCCTTGGCACTTGCCCCGGTCCCATCCCCTTCTGCCAGAGGCCCTCAGATCTGTCCCATTCCTGCCCAGGCCCCCACAGGCACCCTTGATGCAAATGGTCTAGAACTGGCCACACCCACCCACCCAGTAGGCCACACTCACTCTGGCCACACCCACCCAGCCCCCCGAGGGCAACCACAGTGCTGATGTGGCCCTCAGTGAAATTGAGTTTGACACCCCTGTCTTAGATAATCAGAGATTAAGTAGCTTCAGCTTTAAAATCTGGTGGAAAAATAAACTGGATCAATAAAAGATCCTGAAGTAAACAAAACTAGCCTGCAAAACTGTAAAGAATAACACTTTCTTCAAAACCTAGGTTAATTCTTTTCTAATGAAACAATACATTTTTCATTTTAAAGGGAAATTTGAGCATTTTGCATTTGTAGGCAGTAAGAAAAGCCTTCCAAGCTGTATTTCATGTGCTTGGAAGCACAAGAAGGAATTTACAAGAAAATCAATATGAACAAGGAAGCCTCAGATTGTATCAAATGATATGTGGTAAAATACATATCTGAAAATGATTTCTGTTGCTCTTCAGAATGAAGGATGCCCTGATAAGGTCAGTATTTCTGAAGTCGGATTTGTGAACAGCTCTTCCAAGTACAAATACTATCTAGCAATGGAACAGTTATGCATTATTGATAAAATTTAATCTGATGCTTGAAAGCTTTTACTACAGAAATAGTGATTTATGCTAAAACATACTCACCATTCCACTGATGCAACGACCACAGATTGTTGTTTTGAATTCACCATGCAGCTCCTTCACAGCACTTGTGGTATAAAAACCCTCTGCTAGCAGAATGATTCCATACAAGAAAAAAAATGATGCAATTCCATAGATCACATATTGCATAAGTTTTATTCTGAAAAGGAAATAAGGCATTTAAGACTATGTCCTTTATCATCATATGAATATTATGGTTCCGACATATAGAGATCGGGCTCAGCACCCCAAAAGAAAACTAAAGTTTTAGGAGACTTGGTTTAATGTCATGGTTCCGAAGAAAGAGACGAATAAAGCAGAACTCTGAGGTTTGAAAATCCCTCAAAAAACATGTTTATTAGTTACAAAGTATTGGCACGGTCAAAAGTGAAACCAAGTGTGAATACAGAAGTAACAATTACCCAATTACACAGTTAAATGTCCCACCCACCAAACTATGCAAGCAACTATGTCCCCCAATATACTCATTTGGCGGGCTTTTTATGCAACGCCTAGTCCCTAGTCGCAGGAATAGCAGATGACATTGGTTCCCACGGGATGGAAGATTATTATGACTAATGAAGCACCTGGGCAACCCCCTCCTTCTGATCTATGTGGCAACCTAGAATGAGAAGAAAAAATGGCTGCAGCCATGCCCATTGTAGAGTTGACTATTGGCCCCCCTCAAAAGGAAAGAGTCTCCTATAGGGGAAACAAAAAGCATGTTAAGTATTTCCCCAAGGCTTGTGAGGATATTTGTCATAATTTTTTTTATCAACCTGTCTCCTTTCACATTTGTACATTTCATCCACATAGCTTCTGACAGTGGATAGCCTTTCCACTGAACAAGATATTGTAACATCCCCTTGCACAACCAAGAATCAAGAATTCATTTTATTTCATAATATGTCTCCCCCTCTACCCCTATTGGACCCAGCAGCTTCTTTGGAATAGGTCTTAAAGGGGATTCCGACATAGGTTTCAACAAACTACAATGGAACATAGGGTGGACTTTCCCAAAAAGCCGTGGAAGCTTTAACTCCACAGTAACAGTATGATTCAGATGATAGGAAAAGGACCCAGAAACTTTGGCCCCAATTTTTTACTGGGTAACCTCAATCTCAAATACTTAGTTGAAAGATAAACCTTTTCCCTAACATAAAATGGTCTTTGAGGGGAGCACTTTTTTATCAGTCTGCTCCTTGTAAACTTTAGTGGCTTTGGTTAAGGCTTTTTTTGACATTTGCCCAAACACTTTGGAAGGAGGTCACTCACTGATCCAGAGTTTGGGAGGCAGGTGGGTCCTGGGGATACTCAGGCATAGGCACAAAATCCCTCCCAGTAGCTATCTTAAATGGTTTAAGACCGATGCTACTATGCACACTATTATTATAGGCTACTTCAGCAAAAGGCAGGCGATCAGCCCAATTAGTCTGCTGGTAATTAACATAGTATCTGAGGTACTGTTCCACCATTGAATTCATACATTCAGCTGCTCCATTAGTACTCAGATGAAAAGCCGATGAAAGCCCGAGTAGACCCAATAAGCTTAACTCCCTCAAGAATTTTGCAGTAAATTGAACACCCCTGTCCGAAATAATCCATTTAGGAGCTCTGTGGAGCTGATAGATGTGCTTCAAAAACATCTTGGTCAGTTTCTGCACAGAAGGGAGACCTGAACAAGCAGTGAAATGAGTTTGTTTGGAAAATAGATCAATCATAGTCCCTATTACAGTATTTCCCTTGCTCCCAGGCAGGTCCACTATAAAATCCATAGCTATTTCTTCCCAAGCTGGGAAGGGTCAGCTACTTGCTGCAAGAGCCCTGGAGGCTTTCCAGGATGTTTCTTCATAGCAGTGCAGGTGGCACAACTTTTCACATAACTCTCAACTCTCTTCAGGCCTGGCCACCAAAACTGCCTTCACACCAAATGTAACATTTTCAGGAACCCAAAGTGACCAGCTTGCTTTGCAACATAACTGCGCTGAAGGGCTTCAATCCTGACGGCACTCAGAAGGTACAGCTTAGAACTCTTCCAGGCTAGCCCTCCCCAAAGGGTTAATAGAGTTTTATTGTCCTTGAACCAAGTGTCAGTCTCTAATTGCTCTTTGAATCTTTTCAGTAGGCGGTCATCAGGACCGGTGGATTGCTTTCACAATTGAGCTCCAATGTTTATTTGTGAGGCAATTGCGGTAGAGGAATGATAGAATTAATGATTTCCTCTCAGTGTCATTTGAACTGAGGCATTCTAGACAAAGCGTCAGCTAAAAAATTCTTACCCTCTGGAAGTAACTTAGCTTAACTTAAAGTGAAGTTAAAATGGTTGAAGTATTGAGCCCACCAGATTTGTTTCAGGGATAATTTGGGGGGGAATTTCAGAGCTTCCAAATTTTTGTGATCAATCCACACTTCAAAAGGTATCTCCTCCCCTTCCCAAAAGTGGTGCCATGTTAGTAGTGCCCATCGTACTGCAAAAGCCTCCTTCTCCCAAGTGGCCCACCTCCTCTCTGTATCAGTTAGCTTCCAGGGAATGTAAGTGCAGGGTTGTAATCCCCCCCCCAGTGATTTTTTTGTAAGAGAACAGCATCCACAGCCACATCACTCGCATCTGCTTGAATAATGAATTGTTTTTCAGGATCAGGATGCTTGAGAACAGATTTCTTCAGCACTCCACCGACCAATTTAATGTGTTCTTTCATAGTCTCAGTGTAAATGAGAATGTCATCAAGATAAACTAAAAACCCCTTATACAAATGATCATGGAGCACCTGGTTGATTAACTACATAAATATAGCAGGAGCTCCTTGTAGTCCAAAAGGCATCACTTTAAATTGGAATCTTCCCAGGGGGCAATTGAAATCGGTTTTCCATTCGTTCCCCTCAATCCAGACTCTTAAATCCAACCTTGTGAAAACTTTTCCCTTTCCCAGATGGGCTAACATGTCCTTCATTAAGTGAAGGGGGTACATGTTCTCTATGCTGACAGTGTTTAATCCTTTAAAATCCACGCATAATCTCAGCAACCCATCTTTTCTTTGAACAATACAGGAGCTGCTACACAAGATTTTGCTGGTTGGATGAAACCCTGAACTAGGTTCTTATCAATGTACTCTCTTAACTCCTTTATCTCTCTGGTGTCACTGAGTACATTTTTCACTTTGGGAACTTGGGTCCAGTTAAGATTTCGATGGCCCTGTCTGTAGGCCAGTGAAAGGGGAGGACGGCGCATTCACTAAACGCCTCGGCTAAATCATGATATTCACTTGGAGCAAGTTGGATTCCTGGCACTTTTCTTCAACAGCCTTTAGTGTTTCAGGGTGTTCTTCCTTATCCTCATTTATGGTATAGTCTTTTGTATCACTGGTGGTGGCAGGGGGCAAGTGGCCTATCCCCAATCTTAAATTCCACACTCCATTCTCCCACTAGATGTTTGGACACCACTTGTCAAACTAGAGCAGGCCCAAAATCACAGCCTCAGTCATTTTTGGCACCACCACAAAATGGATGATTTCTCAATGCTGACCCATTTCCAATCGCACTGGTTCTGTCAAGTGCGTGGCAGGTGCACCACCAATAAGGGGCCTGTCAGCTTGTTCAGATCTCATGGCTGGGGCAACAGCCTTGCCTGAATCTCCAGCTTGAGCACTGTGGGTAGATTAATTAGGCACCTGATGCAACCTATTAATACATTTAAGTCCATTTGGGCCCTGGTTTTGAATACTATTATCTTGGCGGGAATGGCAAAAGGTGGGATGGGTTGAATTACCATTGCATCATCCTCACCTCCCTCATTACTTTTATAGGGCGCCTGCATCTGCAGCAGCTCGGTCCGGGCTTTTGCCTCAAGCTCAATGGGGGACGAGGCCTTGACAACCTGCTCTTGACATGCCCAGTTTTTCTTCTCTCTTCCTCCTCTGGGAGCTTTCCGTGGCTTTGTGGTGGCAATTGGTGCGCTTCTGGGTTGGGGCTTGGGAGCCGGACATTCCACAGCACAGTGACTCATTTGATCATATCGGTAGCACTTGAGAGAAGCCCTGGCTGGTGCTTGGGGACACCAGTGTTTGTAGTGGCCTGGCAACATCAGTCAAAAATATATTTCTCCTGGACACGCAGTGGCAGGTTCAGCTATGCCTGGCTTTCTGGGGCGGTCCAATTCGATATCCAGCATCACTGCCATGCTGTACCATTCATGCAGTTGGTTAGGAAAACCCCAAATGATGCAGGCTTGGACTAAGTCGCAGTCTAGCCCCTGGTTGAAGTAGTTGATCAATGATCATTCCGGCCACTGCCCTAGCTGACCAGCAACTCACCTGAATTCACGAACATATTCCTTAGTGGAGTGGCCTTTTTGCTTCAGACAATGGATCTCCTTCTCGACTAACAGGGTCTGGGATTCATCTTCGAAATGACCTCTCAGTTGCTCCATGAATAGGTTAGCATTCTGCAGTTCAGGAGCCCCTTCATCATGGAGGTTGGTCACTCAGTCAGCCGCTTCCTCCTCCACATTGGCTGCCACAGCATTCACCATCTGAGCATCATCGAGGTAGGCATAAGCATAGCGATCTAGATGAACCCACACTTGGGTTCTTGGGGTCCCCATCAAAGGTGGGCATGATGGGAGGCAACTCAAATAGTGGCAGAGCCGCCTGCATCTGATGCTGGGCTGCCTGTTGGTCCTGGGGACATGGCCGAACCACCCTCCAGACTTCCCTTGGCCAGGCTCCTGGATTGACAGTCTGAGGCTGTGGCAGCAGGCTGGGGTGGGATACAAGGCTTGACATGACAACTGGCTGGGGAATAGGTAAGGTGGCACGGGCTCCTGCAGTTGGGCTGGGTCTCTGGTGGGGGGGAAGAGATGGGTAGCCCTTGGCATTTCCCCCATGGTGTACACATCCTGGGCAATGGGAACCATCTCTTTTACCTCCAATCTGTCGAACTTCTCCTTCAGCTGTTTGAGCAAGGGGCTGTGGACTAAGATTGGAACTTCCAGTCGCTGGAGTCATCCCCTCCAATCAATCCCTTTTCCTTTTGATATGCCACGGATGAAAACCCCTGAGGTGGCAGCAACAGGAGTTCCTCTTCAGCAGCAATAGGAGTGCTCCTCCACTGAGGGGAAGCTTCAGTTAGATAGAGGTCTGCTAGGATCGTAGTTCTCCCATGCGGTACCAGCTTCCCAGGTTGGATCAACCGGGACTTTGGCTGAGCCCCTGCCAGTGCCGCCTCCTTGGTGGCTGGAGCAGCAGCTTACAGCCAGAGTTCCATTGCGGCCGGCAACAGCTCCACTCTTTTCTTCCATCCCCAAATCTTCGCCAAGTCTTTACCACTCTCCCAAAGGATGGGTAGGTGGTCGGGCTCAGCACCCCAAAAGAAAACTAAAGTTTTAGGAGACTTGGTTCCGAAGACAGAGACGAATAAAGCAAAACTCTGAGGTTTGAAAATCCCTCAAAGAACATGTTTGTTAGCTATAAAGTATCAGCATGGTCAAAAGTGAAACCAAGTCTGAATACACAAGTAACAATTACCCAATTACACAGTAAAATGTCTCACCCACAAAACTATGCAAGCAGCTACATTTCCCAATATACTCATTTGGTGGTCTTTTTATGCAACACCCAGTCCCTAGTCATGGGAGCAGAAGATGACCTTGGTTCTCATGGGACAGAAGATTATTATGACTAATGAAGCACCTGGGCAACCCCCTCACTCTGATCTATGTGGCAACCTAGAATGAGAAGAAAAAATGGCTGCAGCCATGCCCATTGTAGAGTTGACAATGAAGAGTAGAACACAGTGCTAGAAAGTTACGACAGTGTTGAAGAAGACTAACAGCTGGTCCTTGAAATGGTGACCATCACAGCATCCCATGATCATGTGATGGCAATCTGCGTCCCTGGTAACCAGCTTGAGTTACAAGAGTTGCATATGATTATACACGATTGTCATTTGTGACCTTCACTCCTGGCTTCCAACAAGCAGATACAATAGGAAAGCTATCAGAAGGTTGTAAATGGTGACTACTGTATGTGACATGTGCTTAACAACCACATCAGTTAGCAACAAAGTTCCTGGAGGTAAGTTGCTCACTGCCAGCTCCTGATTTCTAGTTTAATGAAGAGAAGGACAAGGCGGGACATGATAGCAGTATTCCAATATCTCAGGGGCTGCCATAAAGAAGAGGGAATTAAGCTATTTTCCAAAGCACCTGAAGGCAGGACAAGAAGCAACGGGTGGAAACTAATCAAGGTGAGAAGCAACCTAGAACTAAGGAGAAACTTCCTGACAGTGAGAACAATTAATCAGTGGAACAGCCTGCCTCCAGAAGCAGTAAATGCTCCAACACTGGAAGTTTTTAAGAAGAGACTGGACAGCCATTTGTCCGAAATGGTGTAGGGTTTCCTGCCTGAGCAGGGGGTTGGACTAGATGACCTCCAAGGTCCCTTCCAACTTTACTACTATTACTATCTTGCAGCAGAAAGAATAGCTCAGAAAGTTTCTAGTATCTCAAATTTCCTCTCTGTTGATGCAGACACTTACTTGGAGTTGAAGATTTTGTCTTAAGAGTTCTAAACTGCTGGGATAATTTAAGGCAGGGGTGTCAAACTGCTGGCCTGTGCGCCAGATGCGTCATGCCGAAACCACGCCCATCCCATTGCTGGCAATGGAAAAAAAGTTGCGATACATCGTGACACGTCACGTGAAGTTGCGAGTTTGACACCCCTGATTTAAGGGCTATGGAGGATGTTTCAGTATAAGCTATTGGTAGAGTTTACTTAATAAATTCCATATACATAAGCCATTTATTTAAAATAGATAAAATCAATTTGAGATAAGAACCAACTGCTGAAATATTTGATGTAATGCCCTTAATATTCTTTGATGGCAGAATGTTTAAGCAACAATATTATTTATAATGTTGCCATTATGGATCAGTAATTAAATACTTTCATACTCTCTTTTGATGTGAGGTATTAATGAAAGAAAAGTATTTGATTTTCCAGACTTCATATAAATCTAGACCTCAAGCTTTTTAAAAAGAATTTAAGAAAAAGCCACTTTCTTAATGTTTTCATCAAAATGCTCTAAAAGTTGTAAGACAAATGTGAAATAACTATATTAAGAAGCTTGTAAAATAAAGTATATTTGTAAATTGTATCCTTGCTTTGCTGAATCATAATTCAACTAGGAAACATATTTTTATATTTAGATAAATCCAGCAATCTTGATTTATAAAGACTAATTTTATCTTTTATTTTTTATATAATACATTGGGTATTTGTTTAATTCAACTGCAATGACCAGTTATAAACAAGCTGAGCTCTGTATCCCAATGAAAATAGAAACTAAAGCTTTAAATATACTTTAGCTTCAGGCCTAGGATGGAGATCGTAGTTTATTATACATCTTCCATATAATTCTGTCACAAGGATGAAAGAAATTTCATGAAACCTTCAAGTTACTTATTATATTTATTATTTTATCTTTAAAATTTGCAGTGTTTCTTTCTCATGTTTTTCTCCAGTATATTTTAGTGAGTTTAATCTCCTGGCAACAGCTTGTTTTTTCCCTCCAGCAGTTGTTATGGAGTTAGATAACTATGCCCTCTTTCTGAGATCGATTGCTACATTTAATTTTCTTTCCCCTGTTGAATTAAACAAAACATTTGAAGCGAAAGTACATACTGAATCCTAGCAGCCAATTTTTATTCATTACACTTTTAGCCCCACTGAATATCATTAGTAACCATATAGCATTTTGAAAAGTTTTCCAGAAATTAATACATTTTCCTTTTGATAAATTCTCTATTCAAGTGTTGATCTCTCTGAAGAACAGACATGTATAACATGGCTTACATTTGTTATCATTGCTCTGGCAATTTCACTGGCTAATAATTTCACTGTCTTTGTTGAATAAAGAAAAAAATAGATTCACACTTACACTTCAGATAACAAAGCATGATCAGTCACATTTGTGGAAAAATTCTGTTCAAGGATAGATATAGTTCCTGCAAGAGCCACATGACCACAGCCACAAAACAATGCTACTCCAGAGAAGCAGAGTATTGTTGCCACAAGTGAAGCATATGGAACTCCTCCCAGGCATTTAATGCAACATTCAAAACAACCTAGACAAGAAAAAAAAAGGGGGGGGGGACATTTGAGAACAATTATTTAGATTTCCATTTGATATAAACCATGAGTACTAATGGGTTGCACTTAATTTAACCAATTAACTTCCCTATATACCTGTCACTTTAAAATACAATAGTGATAATTCTCCTGCTTGTGGAATTGATTCTGGCCACACAAGCAACTAGCTGACGTTTTTCATATTTTCCCCCCAAACCTAATTCTGAGCATTAGGTGAGCTTCCAAAAACCAATGGAGCAATACAAACAAAGCAGGAAAGGAAATCTGGGGGTCGCAAAAAGTGAAGAACTTTTCACTAAAATAAAGATCATAATTATATTTAACTCCACAACAGCTAACGAATAGGCTAACTTGGTCACTCAACAGTGAGAAACTGGCGAAGCAGGCACAGCAGCGCCTGCATTTTCTGCATCACATGAGAAAAGCACGTCTTCCTTTCCTGTCCTGACCACTTTCTACAGGGGGATGATCGAGAGCATCTTGTCATATGGCATCACAGTCTGGTTTGGAAGCATCACTGCTTCAGACAGGAAGGCGGTGCAGAGAGTGGTGAGAATGTCCGAAAAGATCATTGGCAGTTCCCTCCCTCCCATCCAGGACGTAGCACAGAGGCGTTGCTTGAGCAGGGTCCGTAAGATTATCTGGGACACTACACATCCTTTTCACGGCCTGTTTTCCTTGTTACCTTCTGGGAGGAGGCTTCGTGGTATCCGTAGCAGAACATCCAGATTCAGCCATAGTTTCATTCCATACAGCATTAATCTTGTGAACTCTCAAGCTTCCTCCTTCGTTATATATTCAAGATGGACAGTATTTAATATTTATTTGCTACGCATATGTAGAGGTATGGGTCTATACATATGTTGTTCATAGTATGTTGTTCATGTATATGTTTCACTTTGTGAGCGGGCAACTAAATTTCATTTTTGATGTGTGCCGTTGTGCCCACAGTAAAAAAATGACAATAAAGGTTATCTTATCTTAACAGTTACTGATGATGAAAAAGCTTAAATAGTCTATGCTACAAAAAAAGGAAAGAAATATATATTTTAGGTAACACAATAAAATGTAAACATATTTAATGCACCATATGCTACATTAGGATATTTCTGCAATTTAATGAGTGAAGAATAGGAGCCAGGTAATCCCCAATGTAAATACAAACTGATTGTCAGAAACCCCTTCAATGTTTCTTTTTGGGGCTCTGCCATTCTAGTGGGAGCGGGGAGGCTTTCATCTGCTGGGTGGGGGGCTTATGGCTGTGCTTCCTCTACTTTGTTCTTCCTCAACTTTAATATATCTCTTTGGGTGTGAAAAGAGGAATGGAATGTGCCAAGGGCCATCTGCCTTATCTCCAATCCATTGCAAGATCTGGTGAAGTGCCTGGGAATCATCCCTTATCAGTGTGTATGGCTAGGGGTGCCCTCCTTCGATTACATGACTGGTGCTCCTGGCCAAAGAGGTGGAAATCGACCAGCACTGCAACCTGTACTACTCTGGGAAAACGTGGAAACGGTCCCCACTGGAGAAGAAGAGAGAAACAGCAAAAACTTCAGCTGTGCCTCCCCCCCCGCTCAACTACCTACTTCAAATGTGGCAAAAAAGGTCATCGTGCCATGGAATTCTGCAGCAAAACTCCAAAAAAAGAGGTGATCGGCAATCTGGAGAAAACTCGACTAAGCCCAGCCAACACTAAAAACATGGAGCGCAGAGGTTGTGGAGTCCTGTCCAATCCCAAAACCAGGGGTGAAACTCCGACCCCACCAGAAGATGAACACGGGATGCCAGAAAGTGACTACGACAATAACCCATTGGTAAGTGGGCCGATCGCACCAATGTCCATGCCCATAGAACTGTTAATTACAGGCATAGAAAGAAAAGTAACTCTGACTGCCCTTTTAGACTCAGGGTGCACCAGATGCCGGGTCAGTCCAGTCCTAGTCGGGAAATTAGGGGTTCAGTTAAGGAGGTTAAGAAACTCCATCTCCTCCTGCCAACTTGCAGATCCATTGCAGGGGGCATCCCAGCCATGCTAGCTACAGAACCCCTACATAAAGCCACTCAGAGACTTTAACCTTCATCATGGCACCTGGAATGGAGTTAGCGTGGTTGAAAAAATGGAATCTGCTGATAGACTGGAGAAAGGGATGTTTGAAATTCCCCAGAGAAAAGAACCCCCTATCGGGCAAACGAATCCACCTGGGAAGGGAACAGATCAGGAAGATAGTGGCCACTTTGAGCAGTGAGGCCATGCAAACCATACCCAGGGAGTACCGGGATCTGGTTGAGGTTTTCAGTGAAAGGGGTTCAGACGAACTGGCTCCCCACTGGCCCAGACTGTGCTATCAAGATCGTTTCTGGGGCAAAGTTACCAAAGCCAAAGCTGTATTGGATGACCCCCAGGGAATTAAGCAAACTACGTAGGTTCATTGACAAAAAACTGGCCCATGGGTTCATAAAACCAGCCAGACCCCAGGTGGCCATACCCGTGCTGTTCAGAGAGAAGAAAGATGGGTCTCTTCATCTCTGTGTTTATAGAGATCTGAACACTGTATGTGTGGAAAATGTGTATCCCCTGCCTCTCATGAAAGATATGCTGGCCCACCTATCGAAAGGAAAAATATTTTCTAAGTTGGACCTGTGGGAGGCATATTATAGAATTAGGATCAAGGAAGGGGATATTCGCTGCCAGACTGTTCGCTGCCTCCTGGATTTTCGCTGCCAGACTGTTTAACTTTCTTTAAAGTTTACTTGATGCAGAATGTGGATCCTTCCCATTCTGCATCAAGTAAACTTTAATGAAAGTTAAACAGTCTGGTAGCAAAAGTCCTTCCCCATACATGAGACCAGGGTTTTTCCCCCACTCCTGGATTTTCGCTGCCAGACTGTTTAACTTTCTTTAAAGTTTACTTGATGCAGAATGGGAAGGATCTGCATTCCGCATCAAATAAAATTTAAAGAAAGTTAAACAATCTGGCAGTGAAAATCCAAGAGCAGGGAAAAAAACCCATTTTTTTGAGACGCCAGACTAGCATGTATTCACGTGCCTCCAATCCCCTTGCTTGCTGCAAAGCCAGATTTCAGCAAGCAAGGGATTGGAGGCACGTGAATGCACACTAGTCTGGCCGTTTCAGAGCCAGTCCAAAAGCAAAGGGAATCGTTCCCACACCACCTGATCCAGGCTTCATTTCCAAAGACCCTCTGCACAGGCTCCAGTCAAACCAAGATCTGGGACTGAAAAAGCAACAGGAATGAAGGGCTGTTCAAAGGCGGAGGAAGAAGGAGAAAGTGGGAGAAGCACTATCAAACAGGTGAGGCACAATAGATGTTGGGACATGGAAGGCCTAGCTGTGGGGGCTCTTCAGCACAGTAAGTGGTTGCAAGGCACATGGGCAGCTCCCCCACCTGCCTCATCTTATGGCAGCGGCACTGGCATGATAGAGAAGAACTGAGGTAGCAGCCCCATGGCTTCTAGATGGGGTTGTTGGTACCGCCGCCGCAAGGCGAGGCAGGTATCAGGAAAAAAGTAAGACATTCTCTGAAAATAAGTCTAATGGGTTCTTTGGCCCAAAAATAAATATAAGACCCAGGCTTATTTTGGGGAAACATGGTAGGTGGTGCTTCTCAGAAGTAATTTCAGGAATAGACACTTCATAATATTAGCTGGGATTGTGGCTCTGGAACTTTTTCCTGTCTAGCTATACAGAGTGTAACTAATGATGAGCAGGAAAGCTCTTAAAGGGTTCTGCGATTTCATGCATTAAACTCTAATATAGTTCTTTGTAGCAGAATGGGCTTTCCTATTTTATACCAAGAGCTATGAATTAAATTTAAATAATAGAAATTCAATTTCATATATCAAACCTTAGTTTAGCATTTTAATATAATAAGCAGCAGAAGCAGAAAGGGGTTTTTCAAAGATGAACATATGTTCAGAGAAGTAGCCTGTGATGACCCAGGGTCCCGAATGGAGGCAAAGCAGTCGGCTGGCAAGAGCAACAATCCTTTAATTACTGCCAATGTTCCCCAAAAGCTCCCACATATGCTGGCAAGAGTTCAAACAAAGCACACAAATACGTTCCTCTCAGCTGCCTCTGGCTAAAGGCAATTGCAATACAGCCGGGGAAGTTTACAATGTTCTCCAGGCAAGACAGATAACATGAAAACAAAACAAAAACATAAAAGAGTCCTTTTAACTCTCAGCTTGCCTGCAGTCTGCAAGGAGAGACCCAGAAATGCAGACTGTGGTTGTGAAGCAGGAAACCAACTGGTCCGTAATTCCAAGTGTCCAGGTTAAACAAAGACAAGAGCACAATTCACTATCTCAAGATAGTTTGTTCCTCGCAAATGCCCCACCCCACAGCGTCTCCTTAAATCTTAATCCCCAGGTGTGCCTTGTGGAGTGGGGCGGGACGCTCTCCTCCTGAGCAATTGAGCCTGCCTCTGTTGTTCTCTCCTCCTCTCTGCTCTCCTTGCTCTAGGATCTGGTGGGAGAGGGCCTTGCTCCTCGCCTGAACTCTGCCTTCCCTGTTCCAAACCTGAAGAGCCCTGTCCTGCCTCAGCCTGCTCCTCCCTACAGTCCTCCAAAGCCACAGACACCCCCCTCCTGGGCCTCAACAGAGAACTCCATATCTTCCTTGGATTCCAGCTTGGACGGAGGGATGACACTATTCCCCCCTCTGCAGGACCCCCTCCCTGGGACCATGTGAACTGGGACAGTGTGGGAACCGGGCATGAAAGTCATGGACCAGACAAGGGGTGTGAATGTCAGTGGCATCGACCCACATGAAGTCCTCAGGTCCATAGCCTTTCCACGCCACAAGGTACTGAAACCGGCCCTGCAACCAACGTGAATCCCGAATACTGTCTACTTCATACTCCACATCTCCATGAGGGGTTGCCAGACCTGGCAGTGGTGGAGCCGGCCGATGTGGATCGTCAGCCACGACTGGAACCAGCAATGACCTGTGGAAAA